TTTCCATCATTACTGCATAACCACATCTTCTCGGTTTTCGTGGTTTGTTGTTTTTAATTAGTTCTTGCATCATTTTTATCATTTCCTCCCTTGTTATGATTCGTGGTAAATTTTGAGCTTGTGGGGTATCCATTTATATAAAAATAAAATTTTGTTATCAGTTATTTTATCGTTAAGTGACTCAAAGAGTCCGGAGACAAAGTCTCATGTTTTTAGGTTATTCAATAATTAATTATTTTTGAAGAACTGAAGGTGCTACCATGTTACCATGTGCTACCAGGTTAATTAACTTCTCTGAAAAAATGAGACAACATGACATTTTGACAACACAGCAGGATTAATGCAAAAATAAATTCCAATCATACTTTATAAAGCATCATTTACAGGTATTTCATCATATATGTTTTGTCAAAACTTCTTCGTATATGCTTTGTCAAAACTTCATCGTAAATGTTTTGTCAAGACTTCTTCGTATATGTTTTGTCAAAACTTCTTCGTATATGCTTTGTCATGACTTCATCGTAATGAACGTATATGTTTTGTCAAAACTTCTTCGTAAATGTTTTGTCAAGACTTCTTCGTATATGTTTTGTCAAGGTTTCATCATATATGCTTTGTCAAGGTTTCATCATATATGCTTTGTCATGACTTCATCGTAATGAACGTAAATGTTTTGTCATGACTTCTTCATCATATATGTTTTGTCATGACTTCATCGTAAATGTTTTGTCAAGACTTCTTCGTATATGTTTTGTCAAAACTTCTTCGTATATGTTTTGTCATGACTTCTTCGTAAATGTTTTGTCAAACATGAGCGTAAACTCTATGTCAAACATGAACGTATATGTTTTGTCAAACATAAACGTATATGTTTTGTCAAGACTTCATCATCGTAATGAGTGTAAATGACCCAAAAATAATGTTTATGTTAGAATGTTAGATCTAACACGTTTTCTAACATGTTTTCTAACATGGAGGATTTCATTAGATATACACATTCTTCCTTCATTTCATTCTATACACAATTTACATCATAGACGATTTAATATAGATATAATACTTTACTGTTTCATCTGATATAAACATTATTTGGTGAAAGTATCCTAAAAATATTTGATGGACTTTAACTAAAATAATGTTTAGGGTAGATGTGTATATCTAATGAAATCCTCCATGTTAGAAAACATGTTAGAAAACGTGTTAGATCTAACATTCTAACATAAACATTATTTTTGGGTCATTTACACTCATTACGATGATGAAGTCTTGACAAAACATATACGTTTATGTTTGACAAAACATATACGTTCATGTTTGACATAGAGTTTACGCTCATGTTTGACAAAACATTTACGAAGAAGTCATGACAAAACATATACGAAGAAGTTTTGACAAAACATATACGAAGAAGTCTTGACAAAACATTTACGATGAAGTCATGACAAAACATATATGATGAAGTCATGACAAAACATATATGATGAAGAAGTCATGACAAAACATTTACGTTCATTACGATGAAGTCATGACAAAGCATATATGATGAAACCTTGACAAAGCATATATGATGAAACCTTGACAAAACATATACGAAGAAGTCTTGACAAAACATTTACGAAGAAGTTTTGACAAAACATATACGTTCATTACGATGAAGTCATGACAAAGCATATACGAAGAAGTTTTGACAAAACATATACGAAGAAGTCTTGACAAAACATTTACGATGAAGTTTTGACAAAACATATATGATGAAGAAGTCATGACAAAACATTTACGATGAAGTCATGACAAAACATTTACGATGAAGTTTTGACAAAGCATATACGAAGAAGTTTTGACAAAACATATATGATGAAATACCTGTAAATGATGCTTTATAAAGTATGATTGGAATTTATTTTTGCATTAATCCTGCTGTGTTGTCAAAATGTCATGTTGTCTCATTTTTTCAGAGAAGTTAATTAACCTGGTAGCACATGGTAACATGGTAGCACCTTCAGTTCTTCAAAAATAATTCATAAATGCCTTCCTCCTGAACTGTTGTCAAAATGTCATGTTGTCTCATTTTTTCAGAGAAGTTAATTAACCTGGTAGCACATGGTAACATGGTAGCACCTTCAGTTCTTCAAAAATAATTAATTATTGAATAACCTGAAAACATATACGAAGAAATCATGACAAAGCATATACGATGAAATCATGACAAAACATTAACGATAAAATCATGACAAAGCATTTACGCTCATGTTTGACATAGAGTTTACGTTCATGTTTCGATGAAGTCATGACAAAGCATTTACGCTCATGTTTGACATAGAGTTTACGTTCATGTTTCGATGAAGTCATGACAAAGCATTTACGTTTAGTTTTGACAAAGCATTTACGCTCATGTTTGACATAGAGTTTACGTTCATGTTTCGATGAAGTCATGACAAAACATTTACGTTCATGTTTGACATAGAGTTTACGATGAAATCATGACAAAGGATATACGATGAAATCATGACAAAACATTAACGAAGAAGTCATGACAAAACATTAACGAAGAAATCATGACAAAACATTTACGTTTAGTTTTGACAAAACATTAACGATGAAGTATTGACAAAGGATATACGATAAAATCATGACAAACCATTAACGTAAACATTTATTTCCTGTGTTGTTGTCAAAATGTCATGTTGTCTCATTTTTTCAGAGAAGTTAATTAACCTGGTAGCACATGGTAACATGGTAGCACCTTCAGTTCTTCAAAAATAATTAATTATTGAATAACCTGAAAACATATACGAAGAAATCATGACAAAGCATATACGATGAAATCATGACAAAACATTAACGATAAAATCATGACAAAGCATTTACGCTCATGTTTGACATAGAGTTTACGTTCATGTTTCGATGAAGTCATGACAAAGCATTTACGCTCATGTTTGACATAGAGTTTACGTTCATGTTTCGATGAAGTCATGACAAAGCATTTACGTTTAGTTTTGACAAAGCATTTACGCTCATGTTTGACATAGAGTTTACGTTCATGTTTCGATGAAGTCATGACAAAACATTTACGTTCATGTTTGACATAGAGTTTACGATGAAATCATGACAAAGGATATACGATGAAATCATGACAAAACATTAACGAAGAAGTCATGACAAAACATTAACGAAGAAATCATGACAAAACATTTACGTTTAGTTTTGACAAAACATTAACGATGAAGTATTGACAAAGGATATACGATAAAATCATGACAAACCATTAACGTAAACATTTATTTCCTGTGTTGTTGTCAAAATGTCATGTTGTCTCATTTTTTCAGAGAAGTTAATTAACCTGGTAGCACATGGTAACATGGTAGCACCTTCAGTTCTTCAAAAATAATTAATTATTGAATAACCTGAAAACATTAACGAAGAAGTCATGACAAACCATTAACGTAAACATTAATCCTGTGTTGTTGTCAAAATGTCATGTTGTCTCATTTTTTCAGAGAAGTTAATTAACCTGGTAGCACATGGTAACATGGTAGCACCTTCAGTTCTTCAAAAATAATTAATTATTGAATAACCTGAAAACATATACGAAGAAATCATGACAAAGCATATACGATGAAATCATGACAAAACATTAACGATAAAATCATGACAAAGCATTTACGATGAAGTCATGACAAAGCATTTACGTTTAGTTTTGACAAAGCATTTACGCTCATGTTTGACATAGAGTTTACGTTCATGTTTCGATGAAGTCATGACAAAACATTTACGTTCATGTTTGACATAGAGTTTACGATGAAATCATGACAAAGGATATACGATGAAATCATGACAAAACATTAACGAAGAAGTCATGACAAAACATTAACGAAGAAGTCATGACAAAACATTAACGAAGAAATCATGACAAAACATTTACGTTTAGTTTTGACAAAACATTAACGATGAAGTATTGACAAAGGATATACGATAAAATCATGACAAACCATTAACGTAAACATTTATTTCCTGTGTTGTTGTCAAAATGTCATGTTGTCTCATTTTTTCAGAGAAGTTAATTAACCTGGTAGCACATGGTAACATGGTAGCACCTTCAGTTCTTCAAAAATAATTCATAAATGCCTTCCTCCTGAACTGTTGTCAAAATGTCATGTTGTCTCATTTTTTCAGAGAAGTTAATTAACCTGGTAGCACATGGTAACATGGTAGCACCTTCAGTTCTTCAAAAATAATTCATAAATGCCTTCCTCCTGAACTGTTGTCAAAATGTCATGTTGTCACCGATTTTGAAAATAAATGAAACAGAGGAGGAAGAAATAAATGAAAGTGAAAATGTTCAACAAAAAAAAATTACTGAAATAAAAATTTTTTCATCTGTTGAAGAATTTAATGACTATTATGCTAATAATAAAAAATTATTTGAAGAATTGACAACATGTAAATTGAATAAAATGTTTAAAGTTGATGGATTCAAAATTTCAAAAATAAAAGGAGTGGTTAGTTTGAAATCTATTCCTCAATCAAGAATCACCTCATTAATGAAAATTGATGATTTAACAAAAAGAATAGAAGAGATTGAAGAAAGAATGAATCAAATAATTGATTTCATAAATTCAAATAATCATTAGTTTCTTAAAGTTCTATGTTGAACTCATCAAATTCTTTTTAAAGTTTATTTTTAAAAAATTTTTTTATTTTTTATTTTTTATTTCATTATGGTAGTGAATCTTTCATTCATGAAAATAATTATTTTAAAATTAATGTTAATTTTTTAATGATTTATAAATAAATATATTTTAATGCATCGTCTATATATAGATGTAACAAAAAAAGTCACACAACCCATCCTATCCTACTACTTGTAATTTTCGGATTTATTTCTGAAAAAATCATCTTGAACATGAACATATACACAGTGCGTTGCGAAATAAGTTCATTTCATCAGTTAATCTTCCGATACATTTTTTTTGTCAATATTTTCTTAGCAGCAAAAATCAATGCAAAACTGGTCCCTTGATGATCATCCAACTCTTGTTCACTTTCGCAAGAAAATGGATACCATTCCTGTTAAGTCTAACTACTTCTATCACCTGTTTTTAACACCTCCTTATGCAATGCCAGTTAAAGGGAAAACAGCTTTTGACTACTTATTCTACACAATTGAACCTGATAAAACGACATTAATAAGCGGAAACAATCCAAGCATGAAACTCAAACTTGAAGACAATAAAATTATTACACTTTCAGGCTTCAAAAAAAAATTTGCCATCCCTATTATTCTCACTACATACTGCACAAGTATGAATGGACTTTGCTTTAATATCCACGAAATTGAAAATGACATTTTTGACATATCTCGACCTATCCATCCTTTATACTTAAAGGTACTTGAGTGTTATGACGATTCTGATAAATCAAAAATGTTTATCGAGAGAACTTTTGAAAACGTTCCAGCAGTCATAAATCTTTATAATGCTATCTGTAATGCTATTGAGAGGATGGAAATTACTCCAGAAAACAGAAGAGACTTGATGCAAAGACTTCAAGTTTCTATAGAACAGCTTGCTGCTGAAATATTTAAATGCCCAGATACAGAAATGTTACCTGTAGCCGGAAAACAGAAACTTAACTATCTAGTTTATAATGCTCTTACATCTAAGACACATTTCCATTTCATTATGGCCTACAGCAAAGAATTTGCCCAACAAGATATTGCAGCTCGTAAAAACATGTACAGTTACCTCAGCCAATCGAAAGCTGATGAGAAAAAGATGACAGAAGCAGCTACAAGATATTTGAGCAGAATATTCAGTTTAAAGTCTCCACTCGCTCAAATTGAAAGAGTTGCACAATTCTTTGAAGCCATTGTAGCATTGTTACCAGGAACAGAGATTGCTGCTGATGATATCCTTCCTGCCATATGTTCTGCTATGATTTGCGATCAATCTTTCTCTACACAAGTTGTTTCTTTCTTCACTTACCTCCAAGAGATTTGGCCATCATCAGGATTCGATGAGAGACTTACTTACATCCTTACAACATGTTCTATTGCTGCTACTCACCTTTCTTTCCCTCCTCAGGAAAAGAAAGACCATCCTGGAAGTTTAGCTCCTTCTTCTTCAAACGAGTTTACACCACAACCTGAAGCAAGAAAGTCTTCTGATCAGGATACAATTAACATGCTTGAAGATTTATTAGCAAATCTTTAAAATTTTTATTTAAAAAATAATAAATGGTAAATTTTAAAGTTAATAATGGCATTCACAAACTTTTTAATATGTAAACAGTTCTGGTATTGAACAATTCAATCAGATAGAAATCACTGTCTGTGAAATTTACTGCATTTTATGAAATCTTCTATATGTGAAGAAAAACTGTTGATCTAAATCCCTTCCTCAGATTTAGTTTCATGACATTTCCTATATTTGACACTTCTAATATGTATTTTACCATAGTATGATATTGGAATAATAAAAATTAAGTTCACACCTAATGTTGCAATACAAATAAAATTAAAACTTCCAATGATTAACAGATTGTGCATATATCATTGGTCTTTTCAAATACATTTCAATGAGGTTGAAATTATATTTCATTTTTGGATTGCGAATAATTAGATATAACTCTTATTTCAGTAGCTAATTATAATGTGATGACTCTTAAGTTACAAATCCTAATAGGGAAGAAGGCGCCAAAATAAACGGTCTCTTCCAAAATAAATTCCGTGTTGATGGAAAAAGAGCTTCTTCGTCTACAGAAGAGGAACAAGGAGCTCGAAAGACAAACATCGGAGTTAGAACAAGCACTTAAAGAATACATATCAAGAGAAGAATCAATCGTTTCTTCAATAATTGAAACGTATTCTTTGAGTCCTGAAACAACATTGGATACATTATCATCAAGCTTAAGTATTGTATTAGGTTCATCAACATATGGACCAAGCTCATCAATAACAACTTCAACAGAAAATGCTACGAACAATACGAGTACTTCAAGCTCTCCAATTAAATCAGGCACGAAATCCGTAATGTCACCATCAAGTTCTCAAATTGTCGAATTCAAAAAAGAAATTCTTCAACTACGACAAGAAAATCAAAAATTACAACAGCAAAATGAACATTATTCATTCCAAAAGGACGACCTTAAATCAAAGAACAGTGAAATGACAACAGAACTACAGAAATATAGACAAAATATCTCATTACCAAAGAACATGAATTTCACGCAAAATGATATAGAAGAAATGCTTAAAAAGATAAAAGATCAAAATGAGAAGATCAAAAAGCAGAAATCCAGGATAAGATCTCTTAATAACGCTTATTCTGTTGCTCAAGCTGCTCTTCGTGACTCTCAATCATCACGCGATGAATTAATAAATCAAAATCAGCAGCTTAAACAGAAAATCAATGACTTTGCAACACAAAAAACCGAAATTTCTCCAAATATTCCACAAAATTACACAGAAATTCAGTTACAAAGGCTTTTACCGCAAATAGTAGAGCAAGTTTCTCTTACATCTGATGACCTAAAGAAAGAAACTGAAATCAAAAATAATTTATTGTCAATATTATATAAACAAATTGCTTTATTTGATAAACTTTCCAAGCGTTTCGAATCTCTACAAGCCAAAAACAATGAAATGAAGCAAACAATTCAAGGAAAAGAAAATAAATTAACGGAATTTCGGTTACAACAAAATAATACATCAAATGCACAAGAGGATGTTATAGCAGATCTAGTAGATGCTATATCATCATCCAAATTACCACAAACTGTTATACATCAAATTACAAAAATATTCAACTCTCCATTTGAGCCTTTTGACAAGATTAAGCGCGCATTCATCATACTTACAGATAATATAATCATTCAAACTACTCCAGAACCAAACCAAGTGGTTGAAAAACCAAATTCTGAATTATTATTTTATCTCAAATCTTTGAATAAGTTTGTTCGGTCATTTATTGAGAGCAATAATGTCCAGGACTGCATAATTGGCCATCAGATACAAAACAACATAAAATCCAGTTTAATTCAAGATTCCAAGACAATTGACAAGTTTATTCTTGATAATGCACAATCCATGATAGATGATACACCATTGTACAACTCTCTGTTCAATTCTTTGGATCCTTTGGACCTCCAACAAAGTTTGAATAATTATTTGGAAAAAACCGATGAAAAAGAGGTTTCTTGTGCTGTAGAAGCAGCTTGTATGTCTAACTTGATACTAAGGAAGTACTCTAAGTGCATGAAAGAGCAATGCCAAATAGTTGGAGAAGAATTACAGAAATTAAAGCGTCAATTTGCGAAATTGAACTTTGATTCAACAACAAATGAACAACAACTCGCTGATATGCAGAATTACGTGAAAGATGCTGAAAAAGAAAAGAATGAAATGAAAAATAAATTTGAAAAATTGACTTCTATCATTGATAAATGCATAGAAAGTGGTGCAGACTTACCTCCAGCATTAATTAAAGCCAGAAATAACGCAGATTTCGAAGAAAATGAAGAAGAATCAGAAAATGAATCTGATTTCAATAATAATCACTCAGAAAAGAGTAAACAAACCATAGATGAAATTGTTAGACAACAGGTTGGTCTTGCAAATGAAAAGAATGAACACAAAATCAAGAAATTCATGAAAGCCATCAAAAAGATGTCAGATGAGCTAGAGGCATGCAAGAAAGAAAGCAACAGCAAACAGACAGTCATCGACCAACTTGACACTGAAATTATTGGATTAAATCAACAAATTGAAAAAATTTCAAAGACAACAGACGAAGAGCTCAACAACGCAAATGAAATCCTTGAGAAAACAAGAGAAGAATATGATCTACACATAACACAGATCTGTACTGATTACGAAACAAAGATTTCTCAAATTCAATCTCAAATGTTACAAACTCGTGACGATTACGAAGACCATATTAAAGATCTTATACGTGATTATGAAATGCAGGTCAAAACTCTTAAATCCGACCTCTCAAACCATGATTCTGAATCTGAATCTTTAAGAAGACGATATGAACCAATTGTTCAAGAACTTAATGAGAAATTATCACAAACTATTGAAAGAGAACTCAATCTAAAGGCTCAAGTTAAAGATCTCCAAGAGAAAATTTCGGAATCTCAAAATTCAATTGCAAACTATGACTTATCCTCAAAACTAAGCGAAGTCAAGCATCGCGATGAAGTTGAGCGCATCAAGCGTGAAGCAGCAATGAATAATTCCAAGATGCAGGCGAAAATCATCGCACAAGAGGACAAATACAAGTCAGAAATAGAGCAATTGAAGTCCAAACACGAAATTGAGAAGGTAAAGATCATCGAGGATATCGCAAAACCTTTTTCAGTTGTTCTTGGAATAGAAGGTCTCGATGAAAATGTTATTTTACAAACGACCAAAAGTGAAGTGGAATCTTATCGTAAATTAGGTACTCAATTTTCATCATCCATATCAGAATTGTCCGAAATAAGGGGAGAACTCAATATCCCATCAGAAGTTAAAGTGAAAGACTTCGTTTTGGACGTTCTGAAAAAGATGAAAGATGTTGAAGCGAAAAACGTCATTTTATCGAATGGTTACAACGAAAGCCATTCAGCATTGATAACAGCAAGAGTCCTTAAAGACGCAGACAAGCGTTTGAAGGACTGGGAGTCATGGGCGAGAAAAGTTTATTTCATTATTAATGAATCAGCGGCGACATCGAAATCTACATCCGAAATCAGAAGAAATCTCGAAGAATCGTTGATTGCTTCGTCAACTGATCGGACAACTGTTAACAAACTAGCAAGTTTGAGAGCACAAAAGGCTTTGCTACTCCAAGGATGTCTTAATAAAGCGAAAAGAAAGTACCAAGGTGATGATTGGTGTCCTTTAATTGCTTTGGCTGTTTTCATTAGAAGAATTGAAAGATTGTCTGGAAATATAGCAACACCTTTGTCTTTGCCACAGACTGGTGCCTTCGAAAAGAAGAAATGGTCTATTGTTAGTACTAAGGTAGTCACAAAATCTAAGTAGTGAGGCTCTCAAAAATTGAACCGTACTCCATACAAAATTTGTGTACCCTCACTACTGAGATTTTGTGGCCTTCAATTGAGAGGTTAGTTTTGATAGAGCACGTTATAAAATTAAAAGGGAAAAATAAATAAAATTTAAACATTTAATTATATATAATGTAAGGAGTGTAATTCCAAATTTTCTAAAAACTATTCAAATTTGAGCATTTTTTTGGAAATAGTAAATCTAATATGCACATCTAATAACAACATGATTCATCACCTTTTCAAGCTCTGCAGTCAATTTTTTGAAATTTGATTGAAATAAATGTAGCAAAAATTACATTTCATTAGGGAATATATGAGTTTCTCTGGAAACAGGCCGATAAATTTTAAATTTTGTCCAATCAACATGAATGCATTGAGAAATTTGGATTGATTTTCTGGTAGAATCTGGAACAATTCAACCATGTATAAATGGATCATGTAATCATCATGAAATGTTAGTGTTCGAGTTCCAAAGAAACAGAATGAGTGGAAATCAAACACAATCTGAATAATTTTAAACGTATACAATCTTTAAGTTTGTATTTTGAATTCTACATATATGATTGTGTAATTCGTTATTTCAAATTTTCGGATTCAGGCATGTTTTGATAAAATTCATTCCCAAAAACGTCAATTAACAATTAAATTTAGTGTATTTTAAATATATATACGTATTATATTTTATAAATTATATTAAATTCGCAAAATTTTAAGTTTTAAACAAAAATAAAAAATGTTCAAAATATGAAATTATGCATAGGATATTAAAATTTACATGTTAGCAATTTTTTTGAATTGCTTTCAATTTTCATATTGAAATTTTTAAGATTTTTTTCTGAAATAATAAGCAAGAATATCAACCTAAATAATATTAAATTCCATGCGTTAATTTCCCCTCAAACGTCATTGACCGCCTCTCAATCTAGATTTTGTGAGTACTTTATATAAAATTTGTTTTATTTATTTTTTTTCCGAATATTTTGTCGTCTTTTTTTTTAATGTTTTTCAAAACTGCTATGAATGCAACTCAAATAGCTCTATATACAGTGTTCTATAAATGCGAAAAATATTTCCTTTTCTACCAAAATAAAAGTATTCAACTAATAATCGAATGTCATTGAATGTTCATTAGAATCTAATAATCAAACAATGAAGTATAAATACTAGTTGAAGATATCCATATGCACTATTGGATTGATATATACCCTAATAAACCATTTCATAATAATTTGTTTCAAAATCATAATGATCGATGCGAGTATTACCAACTGTCAGTACTGGAAGCACAAATAACATCTGCACACAGACATTCAACAAATTTGTGAAAAATTTCATCAAAATATCATATTTTTGAAGAACTAATGCTATAGAGCAATTTGTTTTTGGAATACATGAGTAATTCTAAGCAAATAGACGGGTTTTACAGTTCAATTATGAGAAGGTTCTTATGAAGATGGGGATTTAAACTTACAGCACGAATATTTCAAAAGGTTGTCATCGATATTATTTAATGGTTAAATGAAATTCCATACCTACACGTGTCAGAAATTCAAGATTATTCTCATTTGAACAATAAACACATTATCATCGGTCACAGGCTGAAAAATTAAAATACATACCTTTTTGAAAAGATATTTAGATGTATGATTTTTGACAAAAATAAAAATAAACCATTTGAAATGAACAGAAAAAATATTTATCATGGAATAAACAAAATAGATATCCATAATTTCGTTATTTTGGCAATGAAGATAAATGTATGTAAGAAAAAGTCAAAATAATAAAATCAGACGAACAAAACAATATTTTTTTTGTGAAGGTATCACCAAATTTTGACAAGTGTTATTAAGCTTTCCTATTATATTTGTAAACAGATTTCAAAGTTAACGTGTTTTGATTTTGTCGAACCATGCTCTCAAAAAAATCAATATCTTGATTGTCAAAAATGATATGGTCCAATATTAAAAATTGCTTATCTATGTTCATATAACAACTTTCAAAATCAATAAAATAATTTCCAATTGAATTCATCTTTTTCAAAGTCAATCAAAAAATCCCAACATCAAAAATCTGAATTGCAAACCATATCTCTATTACTTTAGCAAATTTGTCCATAAAATCATGGCCTAATAGTCTCTCAATTTTCCAATAAAAGATTGGTCATTAAATTGAGAGGATTTGAGAGCTTCAATATAAACTAGCCAAACATATCATTTTTCATCAAGAATGTTCAGCTGCAACAACCTCTTCCGTGATGCTGAGTACGACAACCTCCTCTACTCAAACCTTCCACATGTTGATGCACACAATGATGAAGAATCTTTGGAAAGCTCTGATTCCTCATCTTGCATTGATGACTTCCCAACACAAGCTGAAGTCGACTCTGAAAGGCCAGTCGAACTTCTTCCAGACGTTACCTATTTTGTTTGAAGAAGAAAAATAGGTTTCTTGATTAAGCCAATGCCTTTGTTTTTATTTGAAGATCGGTTATAAAATCCCTCGTATGGTAACTTAAGATCTTTTTATTCTACTTCTTTCCTTCCATTACCCAATATTCCTAGAAATCCTTGAACAATAGAAAACAAAAAAATATGATTACACATACAAACATTCAAACATACTGATATATATTACAGCATATATCAAGTTTCCTACAAATTATAATTAGATAACTTAACAAAACCAAAATATTTTTTCAACATTACTCAGAAATACGTTTATATTATGAAATATATCAATAATTAACGAAATAACTGCATTAACTTCATTCGTATTCATAACTTAATTAGATACCGTTATTCAATATTTTAGTTTGATTCTACACTTTAATAGCAACATAGAATATATCTTTGAACACTATTGATTATACTTCACAATATATCTCTTTTCCAACATATATTTCAGCTATCTCATTCTCAATTATCTGTTATGTTAGTATCATTTGAAAAATATAATCAATAATGAGAAGCTCATACTCGAGTATATCATAGTTTTATGCGTTTATTATATTCAATGCATTTTTATTTGAATTCAAATATATTGACAAAAATTTAGTCTAATATCAATGAATTACATTTACCGTAAGAAATAATATAAGATTTGAGCTTTGCAAAACCTTTTATTTTTCATTATTTTATAATTTGGATAATATGAACAAAAGTTTTAAGAATTGACACTACTCAGCTTTTGTTTTTATCTAGTAATATCGTTCCTGAAGTTTATACATGTTGAATATTGCGAATAATATTCATATTACATGATTTTTGCAATTATGATCTGCTTTGAAGAACGATATACAGACATATTGAAACCTAATCATTTTGAAGTCATGCTTTTAAGTGCTGAGCTATGCAATTACTTAATATCAAATCTCAGAGACTATATTGAATATGGAATATCGATGAATCATTTTTTAATGTGTTAAATTATGTGTCAACTGTTTGTTTAGAGTAAGATAGCTTATATTAAATTCAAATTCTTGTGTTTCTTTGAGATTGAGCTATGATTGTGGCTATCAATGTTTTATAAACAAATATGCACAATTTAAATCTAGATAGTATTTAAAAACTACATATTGGCTTATTGAATCAAAATCTTCTTTAGAGTATTAATATTTTGATATTTCTCCTTTATAAAACTCATCTGTGTTAGAATATAGAGTGTTTCACATAATTTTGATAATTTTTGAGCGGACAATTGAATTTTTTTTGACAAAAACTATAAGTGGTCGGATCCATGTATGAATAAAATATTGATAACATATTGATAATTTGGCTAAATAATTAGTCAGATCTATGAAAAAATTATTTTGAAAAACATCTCAAATTTTTGAAACAATATCTAATTGTTGGATCAATTTTAATATTAGTTTGCCGAGAAAGTTATATACGTTCATACAAAATGAATAGATTTTGAATTTTTCATTCAAATTTAATTTTTGTAAGGAAACAATCTGTTATTTTGTCTAAAATTATGCTTACAGATCCTTATGAACTATTTTGAGATGACTCAATTATAATTGGCTGGTTATTTATGGTGGAAAAATCAATTGCTTGAGAAAATTAAACAGTCACATCATCTGGCCACTTTTTTGTCTTTTTGCTGATTCAGTTACCAAATTAAATAAAGATACCAAATGTTAACATAATTAACCTAAGACACAGCAAAAAATTTTGATTGAAATGTGTTCGGTTATAAATGGCCGGCCGCTTTTTAATCATTTTTTTAAAAGATGTCTGCTGAAGTTGAAACACTTGAGTTCCAGGCCGAAATTAACCAGCTCATGTCCCTTATCATCAACGCTTTCTACACAAACAAGGAAATCTTCCTTCGTGAATTGATTTCCAACGCATCTGATGCTTGCGACAAGATCCGTTACAAGTCACTTAAGAATCCAGAGATCCTTGGCAAGCAGAAGGAGCTCTTCATTCATATCCGCCCAGATAAGGAGAACCGTTGCCTCTCCATCATCGATTCTGGTATCGGTATGACAAAGTCACACCTTATCAACAACCTTGGTACAATCGCCCGCTCTGGCACCCGCCAGTTCATGCAGGCCATCGAGGAAGGCGCTGACCTTTCCCTCATCGGTCAATTCGGTGTCGGTTTCTTCTCTGCTTTCCTTGTCGCTGACCGTGTTGTTGTTACTTCACACCACTCCGACGATGACCAGTACATCTGGGAATCCGAAGCTGGCAAGAACTTCACAATCCGCCGTGATCTCGAAGGTGAAGACCTCATCCGTGGTACACGTATTGATCTTTACCTCAAGGAAGACATGACAGAATTCCTTGAAGAGAAGAAGCTCAAGGAGCTCATCAAGAAGCACTCCGAGTTCATCCAGTACCCAATTTCTCTTTGGGTTGAGAAGACAAAGGAAGAGGAAGTCTCCGATGACGAAGCCGAGAAGAAGGAAGACGAGGAGAAGAAGGACGACGAGATCAAGGAAGTCGAAGACGAAGCCGAGAAGAAGGACGAAGAAAAGAAGAAGAAGAAAGTTACAATCGTCGAACACGAGTGGGAACTTGTCAACAAGAACAAGCCACTTTGGCTCCGCCCAACAAATGAGATCACAGAAGACGAATACGCCGAGTTCTACAAGTCCATCTCCAACGATTGGGAGAAGCACCTCGCTGTCAAGCACTTCCGTGTTGAAGGTGATATTGGCTTCACAGTCCTTCTCTTCCTTCCACGCCGTGCTCCATACGATCTCTTCGAGCCAAAGAAGAAGCTCAACAACATCAAGCTCTACGTCCGCCGTGTCTTCGTTATGGACAACTGCGAGGACCTCATCCCAGAGTGGCTCAACTTCATGAAGGGTATCGTTGATTCTGATGACTTACCACTCAACATTTCCAGAGAAACACTCCAGCAGAACAGAATCATCAAGCTCATCCGCAAGAACATCATCAAGAAGTGCTTAGAGCTCTTCAACGAGATCGCTGAGAAGAAGGAAGATTTCAAGATCTTCTACGAACAGTTCTCAAAGAACATCAAGCTCGGCATCCACGAGGACACACAGAACAGACCAAAGCTTGCCAAGTTACTCCGCTTCTACTCCACACAGTCAACAGAGGAACTCACATCTCTTGATGAGTACATCGAGAGAATGAAGGAGGGACAGAAGGGCATCTACTGGATCTCCGGCGAAACAAAGGAGGCCGTCATGAACTCTCCAATGCTCGAAGTCTTCCGCCAGAAGGGTATCGAAGTTCTATTCTTAATCGATCCAATCGATGAATACTGCTTCCAGCAGTTGAACGAGTACTCCGACCACAAGTTGATGTGTATCACAAAGGAGAACTGCGAGATCGACGAGACAGAAGACGAGAAGAAGCAGTACGAGGACCTCAAGGCCAAGCTCGAACCAATGTTCACAAAGATCAAGGACTTGATCGGCAAGGACTGCGAGAAGGTCGTCCTCTCAAAGAGATTGGTTGTCACACCATGCGTCATTGTCACAGGTGAGTACGGCTACACAGCTAACTTCCAGAGATTGATGAACGCTCAGGCACTCAGAGATAACACAATGTCTCAGTACATGCAGGCAAAGAAGACACTCGAAATCAACGGAAAGCACCCAGTCGTTACAAAGCTCGTCGACATGCTCGAGAAGGATGAGACAGACAAGAACGCTAAGGAGATGCTCTCAATGCTTTGGGACACAGCTCAGCTCGCTTCTGGCTTCACACTCGCTAACCCAGCTGCTTTCTCTGCTAGAATCAACCGTATGGTTGCTGTCGCTTTAGATGTCGCCGGCCAACTCAAGGAGTTACCACCACTCGTCGAAGAGAAGCCAAAGGTTGAAGAGGCTAAGGAAGGTGAAGCTGCTCCAGCTGCTGACTCTGCTGACCTTAATAAGTTTGATGATGTCGATTAAATTTGCTTTCAATAAAGGTTTTTTTCTCCATTTTAGATTTTATATAAAATTAACTCTTTTTTTTTGAATTTTGAATCTTTTGAACAATTTCATTAGTATATATTAATGAATGATCAGGAAATGTATCTCCATCATTGAAAGACTTATTCAATATTGCTTTCTTTCCTTTATTACTATCTTCACCATTGAAAGACTAATGCAATATTACCACTTACTCTAATTAAATAGGATATTTTGTGCTCACAACTCAAAACCAGAGTTTAGTCACTTTTTTTGAAATTTTTTTATAGCTTGTCGACTGCTTTCCAGCAATTTCTCAAATGAATAAGATCTAATTTAATAAATTTAATTTTTTTTAATTTTACTCAGATTTGTTCAAAGTTACGACTTTTAAGAACGACTTTTAAAAACGACTTTTAAAAACGAAACAGGAGATGGATCTGAATTTCGAATACATCGCTGCTCATATCAGCGATTATATTAATAATGAAAACTTCTTCTATATATTTGATATCGAAGATATCAAAACAATCATGAAATATTCACATTTGACAGCTGATCAATATGTTACTCTTCTCAAACAATCTCATTCAACTATCAACTCAAGAAAATTATATACCAGTACACGAAATGCCAATATTACTATCAAAAACATCGAAGAAGTTGTTTCAATTCTGAAATCTGTCAAAAATTACATGAAATTCAGTATATTTAATGGCATTATTGACTTTTTAATACCTGATGAGAAAGCAATAAACTCTTCTACGAATGAAACAGAAATAATTCAAAATGAAAATGAGACCAAAGATACAACTATCAGTCAAACTAATGAAAATTACAATAGTTCACAAGATATTTTAACTAGAATCAAAGAACTTAAGGACTCTAATGATTTTGAAACCATTTACAAATTCCTTGATGAACTTTCTTCGAAAGGAAACCATGAAATGATTTCAAAATCAATCGAAGCAGGACTTTGGCAAAAGATCGCTCCTAAAAAATCTCTATATGATCCTGAGAGGAATGTTCTTCATGTTGCAAGTGAAAACGGAAATCTCAGACTTGTTCAATCACTCATCAAATGTGTTTGTGATAAAGAAGCAAAGGATAGTTCTGAATATACTCCACTCATTCTTGCATCAAAACAAGGTCATCTTGACATTGTTCAATATCTTATCTCAGTTGGAGCTAATAAAGAAGCAAAAACTAATTCTGGATATACCCCACTCATTTATGCATCAAATAATGGCCATCTTGAAGTTGTTAAATATCTTTTCTCTGTTGGAGCTAATAAAGAAGCAAAGGATAATTATGGATATACTCCACTCATTAAAGCATCAACTTATGGCCATCTTAACGTAGTTCAATATCTTATCTCAGTTGGAGCTAATAAAGAAGCAAAGAATAATAATGGATACACTGCACTGATGGTTGCAAAAGGTAATGTAAGAAATTATTTAAAAACTATTTGTATCAATTAACTCAATCATACACTTATTTAAAAATTGATTTTATCAACTTTTCAGAATATTTTAATTTTTCTTCACTTAAAATATATATAGTCACTTAATTTCCTTCTTAGAACGAGTTATCAATGATATACTTTGTATTGGGAACTTGATTCAAATAGGATATCAGAATGCGGTAAGTGTAATATAAAAAATGTTTGGGGATTTTATATAGGGTACAAAAAAGGCGCAAAAACTCATGTTTGAGATGGTTTAAATGAATTAATAAATATATCCTTCAAAAGGCATTTCGCGAGATGCTTCTATAATCAAATGATGTACGGCTATAGAAACATAAAGTGTCATACATTATAGAATTATATTATTTGGAACATTTTTTCATGAAATTCGGAAATCCCATCCCCGTAAAGTAGTCAAAAGATGAGTGCATATGCAATTGTTATTATACTTTGTTAATGGATTTGATTATTTATAATAGTCAACTCCATATTTTTTCAAATACGCAAAATTTGTGCAGATTCAATTTTAAATAATCGTTTTATGCGCTTTTATTTACACCCCATGTAAACCCCGGAAAAATATTAAAAATATTTTTTTTATTCAAACAAAGAAAGAAATTGGTTGACACATTCTTTTTCAGATTCATCATCAGTGTGAACATCTTTCATAAGATCCAAAATCTTGTAGTTATTCATTTGTTCTCTGTATTTTTGATCATTTGCAAAAATCAGAGCAATTTTCATTGTTTGTTTTCTTACAATTGATTTTTCATTCGAAAACCAAACTTTGAAATTAGAACAAATAGAATGAAACTCATTACCAATAGAATGTTCTTCCAAACAACAAATAAACTGAAGACAAGATAGAACGATTCGTTCTTCATTACATTTCGCAGTCAAAGAAACAAATCTATCAACAAAATGATTAATTCTAAGTTGTTCAATGATTTCTTCATTCAAAAATCTCTGAAGAAGAACAGATATCTGATAAAGTATTTCATCATTATTCGTTGTACAAAGTCTATTTAAAAACGGTACGAAATCCGGAGACTTTATAATGATTTCTCTTTCATTTTGCTTCGAAATCAAAAGTAAAAACACTTTATAAATGTTTTCTGTTGTTTGTTTGTTATTCAATAACCATTTCGTATCAGAAACAACGAATTTATAATTACCTTTTTCTAATAGCTTGCATAGTATCAATACAGATGTTTCATATTTGATATTTTCTATCAAAGAATCAAATAAAATTTGATTAAATTCAAGATTTTCGCAAAAAACAATAAGAAAATTTAAAGAATTCTTTCTTGTCAAAGGATTTTCCAACAATCTAACAACAACATCTTGTAAAAACACATTATCAGACAATATAGATAAACAACTTAATGAATGACGAACAGTTCTGACATCACAAACAAATAAAAGTGAAAAATAAATTTGGAATAAATATTTTCCTCTTTTTCTTCGAAATTCAGGAAATTTCGAATGCAAATCGAACAAAATACGAATGTATTTCTCTGTTACATCAACAAAAGATATAATATGCTTCGCATTATTAATAAAAACATCGAGAACAGGGTAAGGATCATCAACAAAACAAAAAGAATAAGAATAAAATGAAAAAATTGACAAAATTTCTTTTGGAAATTTAAAAAAATGATTCATGATGATTAAAGCAATATTTTGAGTGAAACATTGAGGAACTTGCTTGACAACAGACAGTAAAATAGATAATGTTAATGATGCAAACGAAATATCAAAGAAAGGAATGAAATCAAAACAAATTTCACAAAATTTTTCACAAAAATGAGGAAATCTGGTCAAAAATGATGAGATTTCGGATAAAATCAAAGTCATTGTTTCTCTTGGAATCTTTTTCTTCAATAATTCTCTGATTTTTGAAAAATTATTTTCAAAATTATTTTCATTTGTTGAAGAAAACAAAATTTGAATGGATTGAACAGATCTTTTGTTGTAAGGATCATCAATTTCCATTGAAAAACTTGAAAAATCGGTTTTTGTGTCAAAATTAATTTCATTTTCAAGGAAAACATTAATTTTTGGTTTGCTTTCTTCTGTTGACCTGATATTTCTTAATGTTGGCCTTTGGTTTGCGTTTTCTTGTAAATTTTTGGTAAATAATAAAAATTCTTCTTCGTTTATGCCGTCAATAAAGATTTTGTTGTTGATTATGTCATTATATATATCAGTAGCTGATGGACGTGTCTCAGGATTGATGTTACAACACTTTTCAATGATTCTCATAAAATCTTGCGAAATAAAATCGGATTTTGGTAGTTTTAGAGAGCTTTTGAGTGCTAATTCTTGTATATATTTATATGAGTAGCCTGAATATGGTTTCTGATCAGCAAGAATTTCAAATAAGAAAATTCCAAATGAATAAATATCTGATTTTTCTGTATATTTGTGTGTTTTGAATACTTCTGGGGCTATCCATGTAGGGCTACCAATAAAATCATCTACTTGCGTATCATTTGCTTCTGGATAAAAATTTTCACAGCAATCAATGAGTTTTGGTAGTAAATTTGTGTCTAAAAGTATACTTTCTGTTCTAATATTTTGATGAACAATTCCATTTTCGTGTAATTTTATCAGACTTTGTAAAATACAAATAATTATTTTCATTTTTTGAGTGCTTGACAGAATAATAGGGGATGGATCGCAGTGAAGTGTTAAATACAAGCTCTTATAGTTAGAGTATTCATATATTGTTGCATGATTTTCCGAATTTATGAAACCAAAAATCGGTAATAAGTAAGGAATTGATGCTTTTGATAGTTTGTTCATCATGTAAGATCGATTCTTCATGTAATCATCAGTATTTATTGCTTTCTTTCGCGTTTGAATAACAAATTTTTGAGAATTTTCTTTGAATTTTGCTGTAAATATCTCACAATCATCATACCTTAGAATAATATAATCTTTTTGGAAAGAATCAATATCAAAAACATATGAATTGCTATTAAATTCTTCCATCAAAATTATAAAAGGGGGAGAATCCCTAAGCACCTTTTTATTTATGTAATCTGAAAAACAAAAATAAAACATCAAAATAGACAATACAAGCCCTAACTTTTAAGCGATACTTCTTCCACCAAATTTCCATTACCTAGATAGCATGGTTCATTCTTCAAAATCGCCAAGCATTTGAAAAAATTTTTATTGATAAAACTTTTTAAGAATTTATACAATCAGTTATAATTCTTGAGTATGTAATCAAACACAGAAAACCAATCAATACCTTAAAAACACATAATATCGTTACTTTTATAGCTGAAACAGAAAATGATTCTTGGCAAATCATATCTAGTATATTAAACGTCTATTCAAATGCTACCATTCGTTAAAAGGGAGTTTTAATTTAAATAGTAAATATTTTTTATTCATTTTAAAATTTCTTAACACGGCGATGACAATAAGGAGTCTTTCCTGTCTTGTCATAGTAAAACTGATGGTAATCTTCGGCATTCCAGAATGTAGAAGCCGGTGTTACTTTAGTATGAACTTCATGACCTTTTGATTTAAGGAGTTCTATTACATGGTGAGCAATATCTTTCTGATCATCATTAAAGTAAAAGATTTCACTTCTGTATTGTGGTCCAATATCTGGTCCTTGGCCATCTGTTTGTCCTGGGTTATGAATCTCGAAAAAGAACTTGCAAAGATCTTCATAAGATACTACTTTTGGATCATATTCTACTAAAACGCCTTCTGCATGTCCAGTTTTGTGTGAGCAAACTTCTTTATATGTCGGATTTTCTTTTGAGCCTCCGGTGTAACCGCAAACTGTGTTCTTTACACCAGAAAGGTTCTCAAAGAGATGTTGAACACCCCAGAAACATCCGCATGCAAATATAGCCTTCTGAAATGATGATTCAGGTGAAATCATCTAAAATTTTTGACACTTTTCATTCAAAGTGGGTCAGTAACCAACTTCGAAGATTTTATACCCCAAAATGAACAAATGGTTATTTTTGGCCTTGTTTGCATTAAATTTAATGCAATAGAATGGTTATTTTGAAGGATGCAAAATATCTTTTCTCAATAAGGAGTAATATGGGAACATGAGTTATAATTCAAACATGACAAACCTTTTTGTTGACTGCTTCCCCAGTTCAATATATTAGAATTTCATCAAAAAGATATTGAAATCAAGTTCAACTAACATCATGATGCATATATCTCTTAAATACATATGCATTGATCACAACTTAGTCTTATAAATTGGCTAGTTTCGTAGCTACATCAATAATTTCAAACTAGAAGATATCAGACCTGCTGAAACTGATCTTGCATACGCAGTATCAAAGCTAATTTATGTATTTATACATATGATTAAATATTTAAATGCAAAACAAAATCTTTTAAAATAACAAAATAATATATAATAAAAAACATTCATAATTAAGAAGAAAGTGCTTTCTTGATGGCATCAGCAATTAAATTGCTTGGTATTTTTTCAATAATTGGTGAATATGGATAACAAGTATAATTATCACATGTACAACCATCATTATTAACTCTAATATATGAAATATTAGCACTTTTAACGAAATCAGATGTCCACATGAAACAAGAATATTCTTTTGGAGATAAATCAATTAAAGTTCCACCTGGCTTCATGAAAGCTGCATATACAATATTAGACATATGATTTCCAATGTAAATTTGCGCTTTGCTCATTAAACTTGCAGATTCAAGTAAATTAAATTCTTTTCTTAGTAAAACTATATCTTTTCCTGGAAATTCTTCAAAAAGAGCATCTCTAATCTCATATAAATCCTCGTGAACAACAATCGTTTTGATTTCATGAGGATATTTAACAAATGTATTTCTTAATTGATCAAAATTCGATGGAAGCTTGTAAATAGGATCTTTATGGATATCTGTTGTCTGTCTAGTAGGAGAAATGTATAAATATGAAAAACAATGGTTTTCAAAATCTGATGGCATTGTTTGAGAGATTTTTTGTAGTATAATGGTATCATCAGTAGACATACTTGATCTTGAATAAAATTGGATTCGCTTTCCATTTAAATTATGAGTTCCGACTGTATTTGTAATTGGAATAAGCCAAAACAAGATTTTCTCCCACGTTTTGCTTGGAGAACCAGATATTAAGATAGATGGATCAGTTGTGGTTGTAAGATTTTTCATTTTCAGAAAATCTTGAAGTAACCAATCGTAAACAGCAACATCTATTGGTTTATGATCGTGATTTATCTTTTCGAACTCAACTAGGAATGGCCAGAAGAAACTAACTGTGTCTTTTTCGGAGCAGACGTCTTCAAATTCTGCCATATCATCTTTTGGATCATTAGATCGACTTAACCCTTTACCATTACTAGGTATTTCTTGTAAATATGTATTAAACGTATAATTATATGACTTTAAACATGTAATTGAGATTGTTGAATTTCCTGCGATTACGTATTGAAAAGAAACGTTCAATGTATGATTATCTCTGCTTATAGAAAAGAGCTGGTCGCCAGAATATTCCATTTTAACTGCACTAGATTTTATTTTGAAATTAATAAAATTTGGTAAATACTCTGGAGGATATTCAATCGAAGGTTTTGCTAAAAAAGAAGCGTTAATAAGTCCGGGAGATTGTTGAAAATCGAGCAATTTTAGTCCGTCGCAGTCCATCGAATCTAATCTTTTTGAAAAAGGTGGTAAAGGAGCACCACCATCTGCTAAATAGAGGACTGATAGTAAAGTTATTACGGAATATACAAATATTTTGAGCGGAAGTTTAATTTTTGGACTCTTCCGCTTATGCTCTTTATTATCAATCATCAAAAATGAACTATTATACCTCAAGGATGCTCAGAAATAGAAATAACAAATATTAGATTATGATATTTTCTTCGGTTGAGGTTGGATACAATAATAATTTTGAAAATAATCATATTTATAATACAAACAAGGGATAAGATAAAATTAAACTAGCCAGTAGCATGCATATGCTACAATTATCATTAAATCATATCATAAGATATCCTGATGAAGGAGTTCTATAGGAAGGCGATATCTATTATCAATAAGGAATCACACATCGGATATATGCGTTTCATTCTTTTTGGAAGCAGTTGCATAGTCTTTTCTCAAAATCTACTAGATTTTGCAAAATTTCTATGGAATCAAGGAGATCTAAACACTCTTTTATATCGTCAATATAGGTTTGAAGAATTTCAGAGTCTGATTCAAGTATATGTTTGAATAATTCAGATAATAATTTAGATCTTCTTTTCTTATTATCTATATTAATAAAATCTACATTATTTTGGAGTTTTAACAGTCTTTGCTCAAAATCAGCGTTCTTATCAACTTCTAACATTTCTTCATACTTTAGAACCATTTCTTCATATCTGGAAACATATTCTTCTATTTTCGATATATCATCAACAGGCGTTGTTAATATGCCTCGGGCTGCAGCTTCTCGTTGATCAAATTGGTCTAATTTTTCAAGATAAAAATCTATTTCATCTTGAATTTCTGGGTTACTTGCATGAGAAGAGAACATTGTACTGTTATTTTGAAGACCAAAGTCATTAATAATTTCTTGTTTTTCATCATTTTTGTTTTCTACATGCTTAGTGAAAGATGGAGATGTAAATGAATCACAATCATCATCATCGCATATGAAAGATGAATTTGTTAAGTTATATACACTGTTATGATTTTTATCATTCTTGAGAATAGAAGAGTTAAGCGACTTATTCAGTTGTTGCAAAGAAATATTTGAAATGCTATTAAATCTGTTATATTTCTCTTGGATTGGAGAATGACTCATCCAAAATTGAATCAGATAATATTTTTGTCACTTTTTGATATTCAAGGTAATGACAAAAATCCATTTCTCTCCTTCCACAACTCAGCATAACAAGACATGGAAGTTTTTTATTTGGAAGTTTTTCATATTTATTATGTGACGCAATATGGAGAACTATTATTACCAAATGAGCGAAGAAGCTCGAGTATTTTTTTAATTCATTTCCTATAGCATAATTAAGAGCCGTTCCTCCATCTATATCATTTTGATTAATATTTGTACTATGAAAGTAAATATTCGCAGCATTCTGAAGTAGGCAAACTCTATCCTCAACATTGGTATTGATATCAGAACAAAGTATATTATAATAAAAATATTCAATTCTATAAATCGATCTCAATATTAAACACCTTCTTCAAGTATCGGACAAAAAATAAATGTTGCGTGTAATAATTGCATAAAACATGGAATCCTCATTGAAAGTTTGCTATTTCAAACATTTACTCATGATTGCTTTGGATGAATATGACAATCGTACATGCATTTATTATTGCGATTGAAAACACTATGCCATAATAAAACATCAAAACCTTTCAATAAATTTGATGAACAATTTTGGCTTTTTGAAAAATTTATGCTCTGATTTACATTACCTATGAGTACTCTTTAATAGTGGCTACTTAATTTTTAGCTAAATCTCACAAAGACACATCATTCATGAGAATTTTTTATCGTCATGGCGGTTTGACGTCGCTCGACCTTTCCTATGGTACACCATCCAAAGACAAAGAAATTCTTCTGCAAGTTCTGCAAGAAGCACACCATGTGCAAAGTTTCTCAAGCTTCACGTGGTGAAGAGCGTCATTCTGCTCTTGGTCGTCGCCGCTACGATCGTAAGCAGAAAGGTTTCGGTGGCCGTGTTAAGCCAATTCTTCGTCGTTCCAAGAAGACATCAAAGAAGATTTCTCTTCGTTTCACATGCCAGTCTTGCAAGAAGGCTACAATGTATTGCCTTGGCCGTCTGAGAAAGTTCGAATGGACAGTCGAGAAGAAGAAGAAACACGCCGAACCAACATGGTAAAACATATTACTTCTTTTCATATTAATTTTATACATATTTGAACTAACAAATCAAATCATTCATATCTAAATTCAAAAATTATTCGATTTTCATATTACAAATGTTACTACAGATGCTCATTCTACGTGTATGTATTTATATTTTAAAATGAATGAGTGTAGAAAATAATATGAATATATATTACTTGAGTTTATAGGAGATAAATAGTAATATAGCTATTTAGATAGTCCAAAGGTATAACAAATCTTTTAAAGCTCTTACATAATAGCATTTGATTCAAACATTAAATAATTTTGCTTTTTACTTATCTATCTTTTGAGATATGAGTAGAAATAATATTTTTAGTTCATTTACTATAAATGACCTAAGATTTGATTCAATTTATTGAAAATCTGTTATCAACTTTGCATAATAGGAGTTCTAACTTATTAGTAATATATAATTTGATAGAGTGATATTATCCTATAAAATTGTGACTATATATTTTTAATCTTCTGATTTCTTTTCATATTTTATCTGTATCAAGCAATTTATTCTTGGAAACCTATAAAACAGGCGATAAAGGTCTAGACGAAGGCTATCGACGATTATTGGCAAACCGGCGATTTGGCAAAGGCTATTTTATTTGTTATTTTTTCAATAAAGGTGACAAATATGGAATATAAAGTTCCTTTTGTTGGAAATCCGTCAGTCGGAAAGACCAGCATTATTTCACGATATGCATCAAATGTTTTCAATGAAGAAACATTGCCAACTGTTGGTGCATGTAACTTTAATTTTACAATTAATTTAAACGATGAAGAAGTTGTGATGAATGTATGGGATACAGCAGGCCAAGAAAGGTTTAGAAGTCTAGTTCCATTATATACAAGAGGATCTAGTCTAATTGTTATTACTTTCGACATTTCAGAAATTGAAACCTTTAAAGCTGTAGATGATTGGTATCAGAAACTAAGAGATGAATTTGGCATGAAATGTCCAATATTTTTAGTTGCCAATAAGATGGATTTAGATCCAAAAGTTCCAATTAACGAAATTAAGTCCTGGGCCCAGGCTCATCAATGCCAAGCCTTCTTTACATCTGCTATGACAAATAGAGGAATTGAAGAATTATTCACTACAATTGCTCAAACAGTATCAAGTCCAATAATATCTGAAAATATGGTTAGCTCAACAACACTTGATCCAAAGGATAAAAAGAAGGAAAAGTCTGGATGTTGTTAACTTATTTTCTCTATGAGAATTAAGAATAACTCCTTGAATAGAAATTCTGCCAAAATTATTTTCGATTTCAGATTGTTACTAGCCTTTAATTAGAATATACTTATATATGATAATGCAAATATTTTGTTTTTATCATTGCTTACGGATATTGTGTTTGAATTTTATCAAACATTTTGTTTTTATTTCTAAATTATTACGTTTAAATCAATGAATTCTTAGTGTATCACTAATGCCTTTCAATAACATTCAATTTCATTAAACAATAGTCGCAATTGATATAAAAAACTTTTTTTCACACAAAACAAATCTCATCTGTTAGAATAATAGTCTTGGAATTGCTGCAAGATGTGCAGAATTTACCTGTTTAAAATCGATTGAGCCCATGGATAGAATTTTATTAGAATTCATCAATCATCATATTCATAAAATATCAGTAAATTGCTTTTAACAGAGTATTCCATAATAAAACACTTAAATCCTTGATGAAATTTCTTTCATCAATTGAAACTTCTTGATTTTAGGCAACTACGCTTGGCAAACTGATCAGTTAGCCTAAGATGTTCAATATATTACTTTAATCGCAATAAATATGAGTGCATTTTCTAAGTGTCAAAAATTTGAGAAGAAGTGGCCCAACAACTATCATCCCGCATTCTCGAGAGGTTCCTTTATTAAGAGAGCCGAAGAGGTGCGTGAACACAGAAACAGGGGTTATTGGGCGGCAAATGCTTTTGCTGACTACAGTTGGCCTGTTATATTTCCATTTTTTTTCTTCAATCTTATTATGAAACTATTTTTTGTACTATATGGTTTCTTCGATATGTGCTACTTTTCTTTCTATAAATAGAGACTAATACTCAATACAAAATTTTGATTTTAAAATATTATTGCAAATATAACCTAAGATCATATGAAGTATAATTCCTTTGAGTGCTTTATGATAAATAACACTGTGCGATTTATGATTTTATGAAATATCTCTGTTGAATAATGAATGTTTTTATATGGAATGAGAATTTGTCACTTTTTTATAAAATAATTTTTTTTTCAGTTAGATGACTCTTCTCACAACCACAACAAGGCGCCGTCAAAATCCAGATCTTATTGCTGACATGCTATATGAAAAGAATCAAGCAATCGAGGATTTGGATTTTGATAGAGCTGAATTAATTTATAACGAGATTCAAAAAGAAGTTTCGAGAAGAGCCGAAGATGATTTTGCAAAAATTAAGCTTAAAATCTCCGAATTGATTAAACCTATACAGAAAAATTATATAAATTCGATTAATCAGCTGAGAGATGAAAGAAAACAAAAAGATACAGATAATCATGCCGATTATATGATGAAAACAGCATCAGAAAACCAATTCCATATGAAAGATATAACAAACATAGAAGAAGAAAAAGAAAATCAAATTTCATCAGTTGAGATCGATCTTACAGAATATAATCAGCTGATATCTAAAGCAAAAACAGAAGCAATATCGGCTAATTTTGATAATGCAAGGAAATTAAAAGAACAGGCCGAAACAAAACGTATTTCTGCAGAAAATAACGTAATTGAAGAACTTACAAATCAATATAATGATCGTATTGCCGAAGCAAACTCTAAACATGAAACGTATTTAAAGAAATTACTGCAAAATTACTATGAAAGTCAGAGAATTATAAATGATGACTATGAAAGTCGAATAAAATCACTACAAAAACAGATGAAGAACGACCTCTCGATAATATTTGAAAAAACAGAAGCCGAAACAAAAGCATTGTCTGCCAGCAAAGAAGATTCAAAGAAGATGATTGACTTTTTACATGAAAAGCATAAAACAATCGAAAATCAGATTCTCAATGAAGAAGGTATTAGTATTAAAGACAATGATACTACAAACGATACTGTTTTTATTACAGAACATCGTCCAACGACTTCTCGTGTTCCAAAAACAGCTGTAACTGCTAGAAATTTATATCTTTCTACACCAAGAAGGTCATTGAAGGCCTCTACATCAAATAATATTCGTTCAATGACAACCAGAGGTAAATTAACAGTACCAAAGTCTGTTTTCTTTTGAATAAGCCGTCTACATATTTGTTGTAAATAAATGCGAAGTATTCATGTTATTTTTTTGAATATAGAATGCGAAGTTTTCTAATTTCGAAATGAAGTTATAATAAAGTTCAAAGTTGAGCCCAATTTGATACTAATTTATGATAGGAAGGTTGTATGTAGACTGAGTATGATTTTCATGAAAAGATTCATTATGAAAAGAATTTGAAACATAATATTAGTAGAGTTTCATATTAATATTACGTATTACTATGACTATAGAAGTAACTTGCTGGCAATCAAATCTAATATTGTGAAAAATAATAAAAAATAAAATTATCGCGGAATGTGAAGCGCACAATATAATATTAGTGGTTGAAACTATTTTTAGTGCTTTATATTTGTAACAATCTGAAGAAACATTCATTTTTAGTTTTATCGTGCATTGAAATTTTGAGATTTCGTTACTTATGATAAAGAAAGAATCCATTTTTTAAACATGCAGCTTAGTATATATACCGTTTTAGCAACTATGAAGTATTCCCGAAATTTGTTGAAAATACAAAATTATTTTGAGTTAAAATTATCATTGATAAACATGCTAATCAAATTTATTTTGAAAAACAATATCGAAAAAAGAGTATTAAATTTGGTATTCAATCTTTGACTATAATTCAATTTTTCCTAACGATAAATCTTATCAATTTGATTATTTTTTATTATGAAAACCATATGCTTTTATTCTAACCAAAAGATTTTTTTGATAGTCAATTGAATAAAAACATTCATTTCAATAATTCAATACATTTCAAATAAAATATTAAGCAAAATTATTATAAATATTTAAAATAATGAATTATTGTTTTCAAAATTTCAAATGTGAACTTTTCTATTAAATTATATTTAGTATGTTTTACAGATTTTCTTTCTGAAATTTATATGTCGAAAAAATTTAATTACACATTTCAAAATCAGAAATTCTTTGAAATATTTCTCACACAATATCTAACATTAATTAATCATAAAAAATTCGCAAATACGTTTTGAAAATTGAATTGATTATGGAAATAATTTTACAATTCAACACAAATGACTGAGCATGAAGCTTCCAAATCAAATGGCAGCGGAGAAGGAGCTTCATACTCAAGAAAAGCCAGGACATTTGTACAAAAAACAAAACTTGTTGATAAAGTTTTCCCGCTTTTTGATCAAATGATAAAAATTGTACATTTTCCGAAATGGATTACGGTTATTATCTCCATTTTTGTTGAATTGCAAGTATTATCAGTTGCATTATGGATTTACACACCAATTTATTCGCGAACAAGTGGAGGTTTTACTAAATATTATGAAATTTTGAACTACATTTTTTCTTTTCAAAATCCTCTTGATCAATCACGAACAGATGGTATCCACTTAATTATTTCAGCATGCTTAGCTGTAGCTACACTCGTAATAATTTTTTCATTGACCATTTACGCAAGTTATTTCTACCAAATCGCACCCGTGTATCTCTACATCAGTGCAATAATTCTTGATATCATTGATCCAATTTTTATCATACCATCCGCCAAGTGCGAGTTCAACGAATTGGTAAAGATATAATTATTTATGAGTATTAACGATGCTGATTTTATAAAATTCAGCTCTAATGTCTCATTGTCAGTTGCCATTGGTCAAACAATTGTCATGCATCTTCAATCAGTATATAATAATGCCTTTACATTTGTATTTATGCAAATATATTGTATCAAAATTGCAAAATGCCGAGAAATCTAATCATTTTATTCTCATAACATCATAAACTAACAAATCCACTTCATAAAATAGAATCCATATGTTATTTATAATGTTTCTCTCTTATTTTCAGCTAATATTCAGGAATATTTTTCCAAAACAATCTAAATTTGTAACTGTAAAGAAACAAAAGTTGAACATCAGACGTACAACATAAATTAAATTTGATGGTTGATTATTGAGAAATGATTCTATGGGAAAAAATTATCGGAAATATTGGATAAAAATAAACATGTGATTTCATTAAATAAGTTTATATCATGATATTTATTCTTGAAATATCTAAAAAAATAATCGTTTTGGAAATTACAATCTATATCTTGGTGATGATTGAGGAGAAGGTGAATTCAAAACAGATGCTCCTCTGTAGTGCTGCTGTTGCTGCTTCTGTTTGTGCAAAGCGTTCTCAGCGATTATCTTTGCTTGGCTCTCTTCGATGGCAAGTCTTAATTCAACGATGTTTTCCGATGTAAAGCTCTGACCAATTAGCGACTCGTAAAGTTTCTTTGCCCAATTTAGCCAAGTACGAGCGCAATTTTCTGATCTGGCATCAGAAATCTGCCTGCTCTGTCTTGTAAGCAAAGATCTTGTATGGGTCTTGAAGAGATCGTCGTCATCAATAATTTTGACCAAATTTTCAACGAAAAAGGCCAACGGCTGATTGCCAATTTCGAACTTCTCGCGGATTTCGACATTTTCGCTTGCAAGTTGTTCGGTTAATTCAAAGAAAGCGTTCAAAGAAAATGAGATATTATTAATTGCCAAAGCTTTGCAGATTAAAGTGAACAAAGTTGTTGCCTTTGAACCTACGAAATCAGCTTCGACCTCTCTTCTTAGAATGGCAACGTACTTTTCCTTGATTTCTTTCTTAATTTGCTTTCTTAGAGATTTAAGAACAGTTGGAGAGACTCCACCTGCTGAAATCTTGGTAGATGTTGTTCTTTCATCAGATTCTTCGATCTCAAGGAACGATCTTCTCAATCCTTTTTCAATTTTCGGAGTTAAAAGGACAATTATGTCCTTCTTGAGCTTAAGGATATCTTTGTTAGTGCTACGTGGAGATTGTGGAGAAGATGTTGATGCAGAACGCATAAATTCCTCGCGAATTTCATCAATTACGATTTGTCTGAGCTCAGATTTAAGTCTACGCTGCTTATCTGGTGATGAATTGCTTTGTCTGTACTGGATATCGAGTTCTGCTCTAACTTTGTTCTCAATTTCTTCACGTAATTCGGATTCGATTTTAGATCTGAGTTCTATTTCAAGTTTTGCACGTAATTCGCTTTCTATTTCGAGTCTCAATCTGAGTTTATCACTTTCGCTGATGCTCTTATTACGGAATGAAGGAGAACCAGTAGATATATCTTCATAAGAAATTCTTGAGCTGTTTCTGTTCTTTTCGTTTCTAAGTTTGAACTCTACTTCCTTTGTTATCTGATCAATAACTGAATCGTGGATTTGATTGTAAACCTGAGTCCTAATTTCGGATCTAATTTTGTTTTCTTCATCGGCGGACAAAGGTCTTGACCTCATTTCTGCGGTTATTTGTGCCCTTATTTCGTCTTCCAGTTCTTCTCTGAACATTTCCTTCATGTTCTTGTAATCTGTAACAGGTTTTGGTGGAAAACTAGTATTTGTAGCTGTTTCAGAGTATTGTATGGACACTTCATCGAGTGTTTGTTCTTTAACTTCATCATAAATCCTGTTTCTGAGGTCGGATTCCATTTTTTCAAGAATTATTCTGTTTTCTTCTTGGAGTTTTCTCTGGATTTGGTCTCTCATCTCCGTAATCATGTATTCTGGGACATTCTGTGCTGGTTTGTTCTTGTATTCTTCTTCAACTTCTTCTCTAATTGAATCAATTATTTGATCTCTCATTTGTTGTGACAATCTCTGCCTGATATCCCTCTGGAGAGTTACAGTAAGCTGTGTTTCAAGCATTGGCTTGATATCATTCTCAATTTTATCGTTCATTTTGTCTTCATATTCTTTTGAAATTTTTTCTCGGAGTTGTTTCTCAATATCGTTCCTAATATTGAGTTCCGATTCGCGTAGTTGCAGTTGGTACTGTTTCTTGTAGTCTTCCTTGATCTTTCTCTTCAATTTCGATGTAACTTCTTCTGCAACACTTTTTGCAAGCTCTTGTCTGATCTTGTTCGTCTCTGCTTCACGTACTTCTTGTTGTAGTTGTGTCCTAACTGATTGTTCGACCTCAGAACGAAGTTTATTCCGTAATTGAACTTCAATTTCGGCGGAAATTCGCTCGCGAAGCTTTGGTTCGAGTTCCTTCTTAATGATTGGTCGGAAATGGAACTCTGCTTCTGCCCATACATCTTTTCTGACGTCATCGATCACTTGGTTGCGAATTTCATTCGTAATTTGGGTCTTAAGTTCGCGAATGAGCTTGGAATCGGATGTATCGACTGGGCTTGAGTCGGCTCTGACTGGATGATACTCGTTTTGTAACTGCTGGCGGATTTTTTCGCGTTCATCTTTCATTTTAAGTTCATATTCGGCTCTGATGCTATCTTCAAGCATTTCACGTATGTTTGATGTATCTCCGAATGATTCTCCATGTGAGAAAGCAGCTAACTCTTGCTGAAGTTGAGAAATTCTTGCTTGATATTTGGCTTCAAGCTCGTTTTGAATAGAAATGCGGAGATGATCATTTGTTTGTGGTTTGTTCTTCAAAAGTTGCTGAACGATGTAAGCTTCTTGTATCAGGACTGTCTTGAGTTCAATATTTGAAACACTTTCGTCGTTTGCAAGCTGGCTGAGTACTCTTGTTCTCATGTCTGCATCGAGATAATGATCGAGTATTTTACTCAAGCCGTAAAGTGGTGTTTCCGGTGTAGAAATCATGGAGGAAATTAATTCAGTTGATTTTCCGGCTTGTTCAGCAAGAAAATCTCTTGTAGCTTCTTTCAAGAATGTCCTTCCACTTTGTTGTGATATTAAAAACAGTGAACTTGGGTCTTGACCATTACTTAATCTTAATAAGAACTCAATGTGGCCATTAATTTGATTGCAAAGTCTTGAAATTGACGAATCACGTTGAGATGTTAATTCGTACAAGTATTTCATCAGTTCATCTTGTTGTTTTTGTTGATCGACAATTAATTGGATTTCTTTGAGCTTTTTCATTCTAATAATATCATCATCAGTTGTTTTATTGATCAAACTTGAAATTATGCTAGCAGCGGAGTCTTCCTTCCACTGTCTTCTACTAGCAATAGGAAAGCGCTCCATTTTTAAACGTTCACAGTGATAAAATTCTTATTGTAAAACTATTTCACAGGAGGACAATAGTATAAAATATTGATTTGTCTAATTGAATTTAGTCAATTCTGATATGTTTACTACGATTTAGAATTAATAAATTTGAGATGATCAAAATAATTATGTTTTAGAACAATTTCGAAGTCAAATCCATATCTTTACAACGAATAAAATCATGTGTAATAATTTCAGAACAATATTAATTTTAAAATGTAACTACGATTAATATGATCTGAAATTATATTTTATGAGAAAAAAAAAGTTTGAACATCTAGTAGTGTAAATGATATAGATGTATGGAATTCATATTTTCCGGATGTTACACCAACTCAAAGTCATACATCGAATTATCAATTCTTTAGCACTTCAACAGGAAGTTACTTTGTTCATCAAAACGAATTCTATTCTCTTTCACAAGCTATTTATATCACTGCACAAAATGAAAACTCTAAGTTACTTGTTTATCGTAGTTCTTTTACATCTTGCTATTGTTCATCGCAAGGTGCTTCAATTTATCACTATGGAGGATCATTTATTCTATTTCAATCATGTGGAACGAAATCTAAGAATGATGTGAATGATGGCACTTTCCTTTTTAGTTATTCCTTTCAAATTATAAATTTACCACAATTTTTGATTGAATCAACAATTTCAGAATGCGGCGAAACAGGAAAAGGATAATCAACAAATATTTCCAAAAATCTAGGATATGCAGATGCTGCATTTGAAATTCGATCTCCTGATTCACTTCACTTCACTTCATTTTTTGTACATCAGAAGGAAATGATGTAAGTACTAATGATTGTCATTATATAAGTGGTTCTATCCCATACACATTTGATAAATGTAATTTTATCCAAAACAATTGCGGGAGATCGATTTTCAATTCATATCCACAAGTTACATTTGATGAATGTTATATAGTTGGAAATACTAAAGATAAAGAATTCTATAAAAATACTGCTACATTATATAAGTCATACTACGATGGTAATCCAACAAACGTTACAACATTAAATCCTATTGGTAACATTCCAAATGAAATTCATCATCTTTCATTTGGAAGTTGTTTTGCAAAAATTCCATTGACAAAAGCAATAAATCAACATTGTGTTGGTCGATCTTTTAATTGTCAATTTGATGCTACTATAACTCAAATATTATCTATTAATTTAACTATTTTATCTATGAAGAAATGAAAAAAAAATATTTGAAATAAATAAATCGTTTGCAAGCATTCAAATTTTCAGAGCTTTTAATGTTCATGAAAATTAGAATTTGCAAACGATTAAAGAAATTATTTGCAATTTGGCCGTAGGCAAGCGCCGTCCAAATTGCAAATAATTTTTAAAATTGTTTGATAAACATTTACATTATAATTATGAAATGTGTTGCCAGAAAATATCCAAGGTATATCAAAATGTCATTAAGCCATATTGACTTTCGCCCTCTCATAATTAAATATATGACAATTATCATCTGATAAGCCATTTACAACTAAATTTATATTAATATAAAAGTGCATAAGTCAAAATTGGTTGATGCCACGTACGATTATCTTGCTTTTGGAATGTTTGTTTAGCTACTTATGATAATTAATGATTAAAAAGTTAACAATATCATATAATTTATCAATAAAAACAAAATAAAAAGTAAATATAAATATAAATAAAGTATAATAAATGAAAAGAAAAAGAAAAAGAATTATCTTTGTCGAATACCCATGAGAGAAAGAAGTTTTTCGATTTCGCGAAATAGCATTCCACCGTAAAACATGTTTTCGAAAAGTTCATCAGGGATGGAATCAATTCCCCACATAGCACCTAAACATGCAGAAACAACTGAACAGTTACCGTTTGTGTCACCACCAATTCGAATAGTGAATTCGATACCTTCTTTGTATGTCATGTTCTTTCGAAGTGCGATGATGCAGATTCCCAATGAAAGCATTGCTGTCTGTTGGTATGATTCGAGATTCAAGTCACTCAGATCACGAGCATTAGTAAATCGACGCAGTTCGTGAATTTGTGGTGCTGTCAACTCTGGAAAGAATTTGTAGCAATCTTCAATAGTTTGATCAATAGAGAACTCGTATGAAAGACCAATCTTGTATCGAATAATTCGTGCAATGAAAAGAGACACTAATGATGATGAAAATGCACATCGTGGATCATAAGATGTGATTCGACAGAAATCTGATGCTTGTTTGACAACACGTTCGTCATCCCAGAAGAAGAAGCATCCGCATGGTGCTGTTTTAGAAACACAAACATTTCCACCGGCTGTGCGACCTGTCTTCTCCCAATAATCTTTAGAACATGAAATAGGATCTTCATAAAAATTGTTGTTAGAAATGACGGAATTAAATGATGGAGATGTTGAAATACCACGGCCTTCTTTGTATTCTGATATTCCTTCAAGAGACCATCGCTTGATATGTTTTGCAAGGTTCTTGATGTCTAATTCGCCTTCTGTTTCACATATAGAACGAATGAAAAGTAATGCAAGAGCTGTTTGTTCTGAGAATGTGCCACAAGGTGATGTTCCGTTTCGTCGTGTCATTCGGATGTGGCTCCATGTTGGATTGACACTTTCTTCTAAAATGAAATTCAAATAAAGTTTGTCATATCGTTCAAAGTTCCATGAAAGCCAATCACCGATCGCAAGACCGAAGATGCAGCCCGAAATGTATGATGATGATCGTGAAATGTTGTCAATAACACCAAAACAACTTTTAGGAAGTTCTTGTGGTAAAATGTCGTTTGGAATTGGAGGCCATGGACCAAATAGAAGTCTATGTGATGTATGCCATGTACCTGAGATATGTTTTTCAGTGAATTTGTCACCTTCAAGTTGATTTCCTGGTAAATTGACTGATTTGAATTTGTAGTCTGGTATTCCTGTGACTTTAGTGCAATTAGGAACCCAGATAAGAGAAAGTGATGAATCTTTGTCAAATGATGTAAATGTTACTTCTTTTATGTCTGTTTCTAAGAGTTTAAAGCTTGGAAGGAAGGTAAATTTAGAAAAGTTGAAAGATGCTAGCTTCATATTGTTAGCTACTAATGCTTGAAGTTGAATAGAATTAGTTAAAGATTCTATGTCTTTGAAATCGGATGAAGAAATGTCGATGAACTCTAATCTAGGGACAACAGGAATTTCACGAACTTTTGTGTGTGAAATCGATAAGTATTTCAGGTTTAAAAATTCTTTTGAATCAATTGTCGTCAAATAATCACAGAAAGAGACATCGAATGCTTCTATTCCGTCACATCCTTTGATTTGTAAGGTCTTGACAGATGGATTTCCGATGCAATCTAAAACTCGTAATTTTGGACAATTTGATAGAGTTATTTTCATTAAATTTGGGCATTTCGAAATGCGTATACGCTCTAAATTCGGATAGTCTTTAATAATGACGTTTGCAATAGGATTTGCTATTAAATCGATAATCGTCGAATCAGATAAAGTGGAAAACTTTGGAACCTGATTGACAAAAGCAAAGCTCCTGTCTTTTTCGCTCGAAGAAGTCAGGAAACTGAACCTCTTGTCGCTGTTTAAAAGGATACGGGCAAATTTTCCATAATCATTCATTCTTTGATTTTTTGAATGACGCAATTTTACATAATTTCATACGAAATTTCTGTTTATCTTCTTATAGCGAATCGTTTTTACGAAAATACAAATCTTATTCGATCTCATGCGTCTCTAATTCAGTTTGATGTGGGCAACCTGTGCACCCATAAGAAAATTTCCGGTGAGTTTAAATATTGAATTTCGTCGAATTCGATTCTGGCGAACTAAAAAAGACATGTTTCGTCAGTTATTTCTTAACACACTAATGACTACCTTTGTTGTAACTCATTTCTTTTTCTTTTATTGAATAAAAACCCTTATCGAAGGATGATTTTTACGATAATACGAACAAAATATTCATAATCGAAGCTCAATCTCGGCATATTTTAAATGTAAAGAAGAGCTGTTATTTCATGGAACTGTTCCTCATACTTATCTAAATATATTTGGAACGATAGATTAAAAACTATAATACATTAATCTAACATTCTCATTAATAATACCTATAGCTTTCAAATATATACTTTGATTGAATATGCAAAATGTCTGTAAAAAAAATCTTGAATTCTAATTTTTATTGAGTATTAGATCACAACATCTGAAACATTAAAGTAACTTCCAGAATAATATGAGTTGGTATAATCAGTAAGACTTTATTGCAAATCATATATTTGAAACATATAATTTCATTTTGAAGAGAAACATCACCTGTGGAATGAGCAGCCTCTGGAATTAGTTTGATCAGTAAGTCATTAATTCATATAATTATTGAAATATCGAAAATAATTAATTAAACATGCATTTTGGTAAATCCCAATCAAGAAACTATATTGAATCATTCTAAAATTTATGTACTCAAAAGGAAAAGGTTCAAATATTGATTTTACAAAATTTCAATATTCGCAAAGCGACCAAACATCATTAAACCTGGTATTTAAATCTAACGAACTTTCAAAATTACAATAAAGTTTACCGGAATTGACATAATAACTTAATTTTTTATTTTTTTGCGGTTCTGAAGAAAAAAGTAGATGCGGTTCTAATGGCTTTGTAAACTTCAGAAATAAAACTTGTATCGTTTTTGAAATCAAAATTTTATTATATTATGTGTGATACAGAGACTATTGAACGATTTGCTACTGTTTTCGAGCGAGGAGAAACCGAAGGAATCGATGACTTCGGTGGTATTCAAGGCATAGCAAGTATTTTCACTGTAGATCTCAACGATGGTATCAGTGATACCGAAATGAGCAACAACTACGCAGACCGTATACAGAAATGGGGTGTAAACTTACTCCCTGACCCACCAAGCAAATCCTGGTGCAGACTTTTCCTAAACACATTTAAAGATTTGATGTTAAAGATGTTAATTGGCCTTTCCATTGGTGGTTTGATCCTTTCCGCACTCGCCAACATCGGTGAAGAAGATGGATGGATTCATATCATCGATCCAGTCGCTATTTTAATTTCCGTAGTTATTGTTTCTTCTGTTGAAGCCCAAGTCAACTACCAGCAACAGAAATCATTCAATTCAGTCAGTAAGCTCAAGAATTCTTTCGATGTTACCGTCAAAAGAGGCGGAGAACAGAGATTAATCAAATCTACTGAGTTAATGGCTGGAGATATCCTTATGCTTCATGCAGGTGACGCTGTCCCTGTTGACTGCGCTTACATTTCAGGACACGTATTACGCATAGATAACTCACAAAATACAGGAGAACCAATTCCGATCTTAATTACAGAGAGTTCACCTCTTATTACATCAGGAGCTGCTGTCGACAGTGGTGATGGATGTGTTCTCGTATGCGCCGTTGGTCCATACTGTCAATTTGGCCGTACTTTGAAGAAATTAGAACACATGAACGAACTCGAAGAAGAGACACCACTTCAGAAGAAGCTCGATTACATCTGCAAGCAAGTTACATACCTCGGTCTCTTTGGTTCCCTTTGTACTTTAGTTGTTTTGATCATTATTTGGTCAATCGACGTTGCAAAGAACAAATGGAACAAGAAATACTTATCATTACTCATGGAAGACGTCATGGTCGCTATTACAATGTTCATTGGCGCTATTCCAGAAGGTTTACCATTGGCCGTCGTTATTTCTCTTGGATTTTCAATGAAGAAGATGATGAAAGACAATAACTTCGTCCGCCACCTCAAAGTATGCGAAACAATTGGCGGAGCAACCACAATTTGCTCAGATAAGACAGGAACTCTCACACAGAACAAGATGACAGTTGTTATCTACTGCCAGAACGGTAAAGATTATTCTGGTAAGCCAGAAGTCGCTCAATCAGTCTTAGATTTGCTTGGAGAAGGAATTGCCTTAAATACCAACGCATATCTTACAATCAAGAGCGGCAAGACCACTCCAGAATGGGTTGGTAAGTCTACAGAATGCGCTCTGATGAAGTTCGGAGCTGATTGCGGCTATGATTATAAAGTTATCCGCGAAAAGTATCCAGATACATTCCAGCATGAATTCAATTCCACCAGAAAGCGTATGTCTACAATTGTACGTCGCGAAAACGGCTACAGAGTCCATTGCAAAGGCGCTCCTGAATTAGTCATCAAAAGATGCAAGTACTACCTCAAGGAAGACGGCGAAAGACTTCCACTCGACGAGGCGACATCCGAGGCTATCGTAGAAAGAGTCAACGAGCTTGCCGATGACCAGTTAAGAACAATGCTCTTGACTTACAATGATTTACAAGGTGACACTTTTTCGAAAGATTGGGAAAATCCAGACAGTGTTGAGTGCGATTTAACTGTTATTGGCATCTGCGGTATCAGAGATCCACTCAGACCAGAAGTTCTCAACGCTATCAAGCAGTGCAAACAAGCTGGTGTTATGGTAAGAATGGTTACAGGAGATAACATCAACACAGCTGTTTCTATTGCAAGACAATGCGGTATATTGACAGATGACGGCCACGCAATGCTCGGAAAGGAGTTTTCTTCGATGTCAAAAGTAAAATTAATCGAAAAGTTGCCGAAATTACAGGTTATGGCCAGATCTTCACCGCTCGATAAATACCGCTTAGTTTCTTTGCTCATGGAATGCGGAGAAACTGTTGCTGTTACAGGTGATGGATCCAACGACTCAACGGCTTTAAGAAAGGCTGATGTCGGCTTGGCTATGGGTATGTGTGGTACAGAACTCGCTAAAATGGCTTCTGATATTGTCATTTTAGATGATAATTTCAATTCTATTGTTGCAGCACTCAAATGGGGCCGCTGCATCTACGATAACGTCAGATCCTTCTTACAGTTCCAGTTGACAGTCAACGTTTGTGCTTTGGCCATTACTTTCATTGGATCTTGCGTTTTGAAGAAATCTCCAATGAGAGCCATCCAATTACTTTGGGTTTCCTTGATTATGGACTCAATTGGTGCACTCGCTCTCGCTACAAAAGGCCCATTTGACTCACTTTTGGACCGACCACCTTATGGCTCAGCCTCGAAACTGATTTCCAGACTGATGTTGAGGAATATTGCAGCTCACGGATTATTCCAAGCAGCTTTGCTGATGACAATTCTCTTCGGAGCTGATGCATTCTACAAAGTTGACACAAGTATAGAAAATGCACAGCAAACCTTCTTCTTTAACTCATTCGTATGGATGCAGATCTTCAATTTACTCAACGCAAGAGTCGCTGACCAAAGTACTCCTTTCTTTGAAGGATTATTCTCGAATTGGATCTTTTGGTTCTTCTTCATCTTCATTATCTTCGTACAAGTCATACTCGTCGAGTTTGGTGGAAGAGTTTTCGGTACTAACCACCTCAACTGGAAGCATTGGCTGATTTCGATCGCATTAGGTGCTACAGAACTCGTTTTCGGATGGATCATCAGGTTCTGGAAGATCAGGGATGAAACAACAGAGAGATTGATCGTCCAGAGAGAAGAGAAGAGAGAAGTAATGAAGAGAAAGTACACAGGTATGACTCCGACAATGATGTGGAGAGAACCAGAAGAGGGACAGCCAGCAAATACTGCTCAGGGTCCAAAGCCTCCAATTCCGGTCGTAAGAAGACATCCAAGTGCAATCCATCCTAACCAGCCTGCTGTTGTTTAATTTTAAAGTTTAATAATATTATATATTAACTTTTTATAGTATATATCTTAACTTAACCTTTATAAATTTAAATTTTATCAAAATTTCAAAGATTTTTTTATTTAAATATGTAGAAATATATGAGTTTTACATTATTTTGCATTATTTTTTAAGTCTCTTACCTTCGTAAAGTCTCTTGTTCAAATTTTTGATAGAGATTCACTCAATATTGAGGCAGAAAAACGATGGGGAGACTTTACTTAGGAAAATGTGTATGCATTTGTCAATTTATTGAGCTCGTGTATATATTTAGAGAATAGTTGATATTGATGATGTATTGTACAGGGTCATTATTGATTTTGTAATTTAATCGTCGTCGTTATCGATTTTGTAATTTAATCGTTATCATCTTTTTCTAAACGTGCATTTTTTGCTTTCGGAGCTATTGAACATACATTGGCCCTTACCAGCAATTGAAAACTATTTTTCATTATCAACAATTACATTACTCCGAGTTATTCATCAATCAATGAAAATCGATATATAGTCCATACTTCAATTTACAATATTGGCAAGTCCAATTTCACTTGGCATATTTAACTCATATAGAAAAACCAGTTGGAATCAGCAAAATTATCTTTAATTCCATACATAAGAAAAAAAAAATTATAAAGTTCTTCAATAATAGCAAACTAATAGTTTAAATAGATTTACAAGTATCGCCCATCTACTTTTGATATAATTCACATATTAAATGTAGAAAACTGGTTTAAAATAAATATTTCAAAAGTTCGAAAACGATTTATGAAAAAATAACGTGATGACATTTACTAAATTTGCTCTGTATTAAAGTATCGATGATAGAAAGAGCATATTTTGTAAATATTTCAAAAATATTTAAAAGTCGGAGAAATTGTATTGTAATGTACTATAATTATGTTACAAATCCGATTCAATACTAATCCTTCGCTATTGAAGTTGTTTTGAGAAGGATATTCTCTAAATTCTTGATAAATCTTTAAAATCTAGAGTAATGTTTTGTAAACTTAACAAAACTAAAATGTATACCAATAGATTGGCATTTTCTACGTTTTCAAAGTGAGAGAGTGTAAATTCTTTTTTTTATCCTATTAAGGTTTTTAAAAAATTTAATTAACTTAATTTATATGATCTGAAATATATGACAAGTTAATATGGAGAATTCTTTCAACCCAATTTCAATTTATTGAATTTTCTATTCGAATTCAAAAATTTTCCCAAGAAGAAAAAATAATTAGGAAATTTAATATGTTAATACATAAAATATTTTATTTATTCAAAGAATTCAATTTTCTATTGGATCAAAAAACTTGTGTTAAAGTTCGTATTTTAAGATAACTATACTTTTAGAAGCTGTTTTTATTTTTTTCACCGGGATTTTATTAATTTAATTCTTTCAAAATTTGAATCTTATTGTATATCACCGGACTATGATCATAATAGAGTTGCAATCTCTAATTATAGCCACATTAGTACTCGTGGGTCGATATATCATGGGAGATACAAAATTATTTGAATTTTCTTTTATTTTTTTAAAAAATATTAAAAAAAGTAAATAAATAACTAACAACACAGCATCACTTTTCGTAAAATGCTTTAATCCTAGTCCTTTTTCCCCTTAATTTTTCAATCTCTCCCAGGTTGAAATTTATTCCGGGAATTTTTAAAGATGCTTGGTCAACATAAAATTTCATTAAATCTTCCACAGGAGTCATAAACTCTGAACATTTGAAGCGAGCATGAACTGCATCATTCAAATTTTTAAGAAGATTTTTGTTCGAAAAGTGATTCAATACGGCGATTACATGAATACAAGGTAATCCGTATAATTCGATGTGCTTACATGTGCATGAATATTGTGAATCTGACATAATTTTTACGCAATATGTATAGCGACCAAAAGTTGCATAATATAATTCTTGAATTGGATCATATAATACCGAGCTAAACATATCTGAATGTTTCAAAGTTTCATTTAGATTTTTGATAATATTATCTGATTTAAAATCACCTGTTAAAACATTTTTAACAAGATTGAATTCATGTTCAATGAGACGGATAATTAGTTCGGCGGGTTCATATGTATCCCATTTATCTTTAATTTCGGCATTAAGGGATTCAATAAGAGATGTTGTGAGTATGCCAGCGGTGTAGTCAGCGAATCCTTCAAATGGGTTAATACTATCTAAGTACTTAAAGAGATCCTGATTATTTTCGCGGTTTGGATTTCCTCTTGTAAACGAGTTTCTAACTTTTTAATCAAGTCAATTCGTTTTTGAGGATGGTCTGCGTAAGCGACTTCAACAATTTCGGAATAGACATTGATGTATTCCCTTTTTGTTGCAAAATGACGTAAGCAAAATTTATGATCGCAAGAAAAGCCTGATTCTCTAACAGCAGCTATAATTGCCGGACCTTGATCGGAATAAATATTCTTGAATCTGCTTGGTGGAATAAAAGATTTCAATTTAGTGAGCATATCCTTAATTGTTATCGTATTTTCACTAACAGACCATGCAAATGCAATAGGGATAAGTCTATTATTTGGTGCAGGTGTACCAATAATGAGTAAGTTTCCTTTTTTAATACAAAATAAAAACGTTCCATCAATTTGAATTATTCCGCAAAAAGCTTGTGTTTGCATGTAAAAATGAGTTATTGGAGGAATTACAATAAATGAATAAATTTGAAAGTCTTTTGAATTTTCAGGTAATTCATCACCTTTCTTAAATGTATGCAATTCAATTTCATTGTTAACTTCTTTAACTAAAATCATTTCGCAGAATCCTTGTTCGATTTTGTTTATGATTGAAAAAATTGTTGAGAAATAATTGTAAGATTGAATTCTATCCCCTTTTGTGGTTCCTTTAAGTTTATTTACTATATTATGGAACATCGTATAAGTTGCATTGGGAATATTCAATTCTTTTGCAAAAATTTCTTTGCATTGAGGAACATTATCAGAATTTGCTAATTCATAGACTTTTTTTCCTGCTTGCAACTTAAGAATTTTTGGTATATTGTTACTCGGCTTGCATTGCTTTGCTCTATGCTCGTGTTTAATTACTGGAATGAAGAAAAGTTGACCATTTTCATGAGTCTTTACAAGCTCCATGCAAAATTGGCAGTTAGGACAACGAAACTTTTTTCCTTGCTCAAAATTTAATGGATAAAAAGAATTATATGAATCTTTTGCAATAAATATAGCAGCTTCTGTAGGATCTGTAAATTTTAATTTGCTATATCTTTCCTTGAGAATTGGAATTGGGGATTTTCAGGTATTTCCATTCTATATTTCAATTTTTTACGGAATTCAATTCATTTTGAATTAAATCCAGCATATCAGCTCCATCTCCTTTTTCTTCATCAACAATAGCTTGGATGGATACTGATATAGTTTGATTCTCTTCCACTATTGTCGGTTCGCTTTCCGACATGAGATAAAATTGAAGGTTTAACGTACTTTTGATACTCTGAGTTAAAAAAAGATTTTCTTAACATAATTTGATTTATTGGTCCTTAAAAAATTCTGATTCAAAATTGAATTGAATCGAACGAGTTTTCCTTTTGAGTCATTTCAAATATTCATGAGAAAGAAAAAAATTCTAGCAATTTCAAATATTTTTGATTTGATTGAATTCAAAAGTGTCACAAATATTCAATGAGAAAGAGAAAAGAGATCGAATATGTTGTTTCTGAGCGAATAGTCAAGCAATATTTCGTTAAGTACAAAGATCAGCATCCGGAAAAAAATAAATGGGTATATCAAAATGAGATTCCGCAAGAAATATTTGAAAAATATCTAGAAACGAAGAAAACAGAAAATATTGATGAAATGTTACGCTGTACTCGAATTGTTCATGTTGTTGATCAAGATAAAAAAGAATTTTATCTTGAATTTTCAAAAAAAAATCAAATTCATCACATATTAAACAAGAATCTAGATGAAGAACATCAAAAGGCTTATATAGATTATCTTGAAAGTTTACTCAAACTTGAAATAAAAAATAAAAATTAAATTAAATTAACCCTCGTTAGGATATCGTTGCAAATAAAGATCTGTTTCTCAGAAAGATCCTGATTTTCTGATAAATATTCTGTTGTAACTTCTACAAGGTTTAAGATATGAAAAACATTTTTGAATATTTCATCGCTATCAAATCTGCGGAAACATCTGGAATATAATTTCAAATATTTGTGAAGATTTGAATTCTCAATTGCATAATTAATTAAAAATTCATGTGAATTTAAAAAATCGGTAGATGAAATTTGCATGGGTATAAGAGGAAGTACACAATAATACCCCTGAACTACATACTCTGTAAATGAATAGTGAGGAGAAAGACTTCGCAGAATTTCAAGTGTTTTTATGAATTCTAAAGCCATCTCAGATGTTATATCGACTGCTTTATAAAATAAAACTATAAATTTGAGAAGATAAACAAAATCTTCGTTATTTATAATTGAATTCACGTCATTAAAAAAGTTGAAATAATTTGATATTAGTATATCCGAACATGGAAGAGCAGTTGCATATCCTGGGTAATATTTTAATAATTTTGTAAAGAAATTTGCAATTGCATAAGTTGAATATTGATTTTCGTACTCAATAATACTAGAAAAAATTTCTTTCTTGAGTAAAACTGCGTTTTGGAAGAATTCAACGTCAAGAATATTGTTTTTAATCAAAGCAATAAATGTATCGATGATATAGAGAGAATTGTCACTGCTGCTTATGAAACGTAATATCTCATCATATTGATCGGAAAATGTTGATAAATAAAGGTATTGTATGTTATCTAAAGCTTTAAAATGAATTAATTTTAATGAAAAAATGAAAAAAATCTGGTTAATATAATGCGATAAATATTCGAATAAATTTTCCAGTAGTATCAAATCTATTTGAAAGATATTCGAAGAAGTGATATTTTGAATTGTGAATTTTAATATTGTTTCATTTTGTGTAGATTGCTCGATAATGA